CCTCTCTCATCTTTTTAAGTGGGAGAACTTGCACAATTGGTGGCTGACTAAATACTTTTTTGCCCCACTGTAACTTGCATGAATATAAAAAGTCCAAGCTACTTTTCATTTCGACTTCTCTTCCCCTCTTATCATGTGACAGGAAGAGAGTTAAAACTTTGTTTTAAATAAACCATAGTCCTTCACTAAGAGCAAACTCAGACATACTTTCTTAGTTACATGATTAATGGTTTCTAGGAAAAAAATTATAACGCTGTTTTGATTATTATGAACAGTAATATTTAAGACAGCCAAAAATAAACAATGAAATAAACAATTAAAAACAGTATATTTAAGAAAGCCTACCAACAGCTGAAGGAGTGTTTAACCTTCTCCCTCCTGTGCTTTTTATTCTGACAAATACTTCTTTCCTAAGTTGTTGGTTGCCCCAGAGTTGGGAAACAATTTTAATTGTTTTTATTCTCTCATAGAGTAGCAGCCAGCCAGAAATGTTTAATTAGCAAGTGATGCTGGGAAAAGTTTTAAATTCTTCCTCTCTTGTGCCAGTGCTTCTCATTGAAAAATAACATATGAAGAAATCCAGTCATGTATCTTCTGTATCATATAAGATTGGCCTTCAGAAGTATTATGTTTCATATGAACAAGATTCAAGAGAGAGAGAAGTACTCTTATTTAGGGGAACATTCTATGGTTGTTCCACTTGGATACGCAGAGAAGATTAATTCTTTTTGTAACAGCATCAGAAGAAAACAGAGAAGATAAGGTTCAGCCTTGAAAACACAAAAGTAGACTCATCTTTACTCTGCTATAGTTGCCAAAAATGCCTAACAAAAAGAAGGTCTTCTGGGAAAAGAGAAACAGTTTGAAGAATAGGAGAAGTTGAAACAAAGATGGGGAGCTCTGGAGGCTTTCTGCCATAGCACAAAAACAAAAAATCCACCTTGAGGTTAACAAATATAATGAAAAAATATCTCCCCCCCCCCTTTCTGGACTTGTGCAATAAAAATACCTGCTCCTTTTGATACTGTTTGTATGAATGAGTATAGCTGTTCTGATTTTTAGGGAGTGGAGTGTGGGGAAAGCAAAGTGCTGTAAAAAAAACCCTGAAGTGGATGGATGCTTTAAAAAAACCAATTATTATCCACTGCTTCACCGGTAGTAAAACTGATGAGCCCAAGTCTTCATCACAGTAAAGAGATTATTCTACAATACTCCCATAGAATCATATCATTTTGTTATAAGGAAACACCTTTCTTGCTAAAGACATTATGTGCTGATGAGGGAGGGAGGGAGTCAAATGTGTGCCAGAAGCCTATGAACAAGTTCTGAAAGTTTTGACAAATATTTCTCAACCTGGCTCATATTGTGCTTTTTAATAATATTAAACATTTTTTAACTTTACTATTCTGTTTTAGTTAGAAGCTTATGTAAAATAACTTTGCCTCTAATTTTTTTTTAAATCAGAATAACAATCAGATATTATTGTCTTGAGAACAATTATGTGAGGCTTAGATACATATATGGCTGTTTCTACATTACAGTAGAAATCTGCAACACTTGATAACTTTTAAGGGACAAACATTATCTGATGATATAAAATGGAGGGCTGCATATGCACATAGTTGGGACTGATTTGGGCAGAGATAATTTGAGGAACATTAACAAAATGGTAAATCTTATTAAAAGCTAGGGTGTATCTTGCCATCTATTTAGTTGCTTCTCTTCTGTTTTAAGCTTTTTCTAGGTATCTTAAAATTATAGCATAGACTAATGACTTCAATCAATTCTAAACCATTTATAATAATTCACTAGGCAATCACACAACCAGCTTATTTTATGCCCCCGAAATATAAGGAATTAAAAAAAATAATGGTAATGCCAACTACATAGCCAGGTTCTGGGCAATGAAGAAATGAACAATACATGAAAGTACCTCCTTTGAAGTCAGAACTGCTTTTTTAAAAAAGTAATTTGTACTTTAAAATGTACTACAGGGCATGCCCACAACTTCAGGTGGCAATTTCCTGGAGGTTACAGACAGGTATTGATAGTTGTATATGCAAAATTTAATTTGCTGTTCCCTCAGTAACACTCTGATTTATTTAGGCACAGATCTTGGTTGAAATAAGGCTAAGTGTCTCTTTTGTGAGATGGGCAGGCAATATAAGTAAATGCTATAGTCACCAACTGGAGTAACCCAGGAATTCATGAAGCAATTCATAAATCATTAAAAAATCCACTAAAGTCTACTAGAAAGGAGACCTGTCTGGCAGTGCAAAATGCTGCGCTATCAGTTGGAAGGCTGCACTTTTGTAATGGTTTCTAAAAGATTTTGTTTTGTCTGTTACTGGGTGGCAGTTAAATTTATTCTTCATGAACACAGGTAATTTTTTCAAAAATGAAAACAACCCCCCCCCCGAAAATATCAAGAAAAGAAAATAATATTCCAGAAGTTTAGATGAGAAAATAATCAATTTCCAGTATTCTGATCCCTCAAAGTTAACCTATGGTTGTATGAATGAATGAGTAGAAGTATAGTTTTGTATTTGTACAAGTTGATTGGGATCTTAGCTTCTTGTTCAAAGCACTGGAAGGTAAAATGTACATTCTAAAGCCAAGAGAACAAAACCAAGGGCATGACATTTCTCTTCTCATGGCAGTGAAGAAATAGATGAGCTTTTCCTGAGGATTTAGCTCTTCTTGGCCATGTTTGCAAAAAGAACATTGGTTTATAGGGAAAGGCTCACAGCCTCTATTTCCCCTTGTATTCTACAGTAAATGGTGTGACCTTCCCTCCCTTCTCAGTATTTTCCCATGGAACCAATCAATTCCACCATGCAATATTTGGAGGAGAAGGTAGATATCTAGTCATTTTAGACACATATCTCAATCTGATCTTTGTAAAATGTGATTCCCTTCATTAAGTAGAATGAAAGGTCTTAGTTCCTTTTCTCTGTGGCACTGCATACTAATATTTGAGAACCTGGCACTTTTTAAAAACAGTTTTCTTATAACTGTGACATTGGGAGAATATATTAAAAACTTAAAGCAAATACTAACTTTTGAGCAATACATCTAACTACTATTCATTGTGTATTCTTTCTTAATATCTCGGATTTTCAGCTTCTGTTTCTTTTTTTCCTCACTGTATAAGCCCTGGAAGAATTCTTCCTCCTCCTCCTTTAATGCAGAAGAGAACATCACAGCCTTCAACAGCCCAGCAACTTGGAGAAGTGCATTTGAAGATGAATGATTCATTAAGCAATCCTTCTTTCCAGCCAAACAGCATTCAAATCCAAGGTAAGACAGAAGGTTCCCTTAGTGTCCTTTGGCATTCGTGGTCAGGAGGTAGAATGAAAAGCAGTTCCTTTCCTGCAGTGCTGTAAGGTGCAGAGAAGATGTCAAAGGGATTGCTATATACCTCGGAATGTTCCAAATGCTTATTTACATTGCAGCCAATACAAAAAAAAACCACAACAAAATTAGGTAATGGTCAACTTCTAGAAGACTTCATTTTTTTCCTCTTGTGCATTTTGTTTTAGAAGGGTTGGAAAAATTAAACATTTTTGAAGAATGGATTTTGACTTGAAAGTGAGGGACATCAGCCTTGCTCTCTCTTTTCTTCTAGACTGAGTTCACCTTCTTTTGGAATATGCTGTTTTTCCACTTTTAATTGTTTGTAGAATTGCAAAGTAGAGTTCACAGAATCAGTTCCTATTAAGTGTTCTTACTAGGAAGAAGCTTGACTTATTCCATCCACATCAGTAAAAGGATTATAATTGAATATACTTGTATTGCCTGCCTCAGTTTCATTCTCCCCCAGTGGTTACAGTGATAATTGTAAGAATATGTACAGGTGTTTTATACATCTATATACATTCTACATAAAAAAACAAGCCTACAGTTTTAAGATAATTCAACTGCCACTTACATATCTTCTAGTATATCTTCAACTCCTATAATTTGTCATTTGTTATAAAATGTATTATAAGGTGAGCTTATTCCCATTTTCTTAAATGATATGAAATTATATGCTAGATGGTTGGTAATTTTTTGACTCCTTTCTCTTCTTCTCAAAAAGAATGTTATCATATACGCATATGATCATACAGGTAGTCTGCCCCTATGGTGACTGCCTTTAGTGACTGCCTTGTATAGTGGCCATTCAGTTACGACGGTGATAAAAAAAGTAACTCTGTGACCAATCCTTGCATTTATGACTTTCGCAAGTCAATGAAGCAAAGGAAAGTTGAAATGAAATCATAAGCACAGTTGTGGTTTCACTTAGCAACTGCTTTGCTTAATGACCGAGTTGCTGGTCCCAGTTGTGATCACTAAACAATGATTACCTGTACTAGACTTTTTAAAAAATAATGTTCACTTAGTTTTATGTGTTTGTATATCACCTATCTCAGTATACACACATGGAAAATTTTCTTAGATGGCCATAGATGAAGTACTTAGCTAATCTAAAAATGGGGAAAAGGTCTTGTTTAAATTCTGAGTTAAAAAAAAAAGAAATAAAGAAATGTAACAGACTAAAGATGTACACATGCTTATATTAGCTGGGATGTTCAGGAAGTGAGCAGGGGGAGAGGCAATGAACATCCCTGCTGACATTATTTCCCTGGCAGGAGATTTCTCCTTGCCCCACCTCCCATCTGTCCCCCTTCCAATGAACTTAAGCCACCAAGATACCGTGCTCCCTTTTGCTTGTGTTTTATATTGAGCAGATATGTGGTTGTGACTTTGGTCATTTAGCAATTGCTAGACCTACAAGCAGCATATGAAACAATTGCATTACTCTCTGTTGGTTCACTGGAGGGAGTCCTGAACAGCATATGTGATTCACTCAGTGTATTGTGGTTGGCAGAAAGCAATTTAAAACAGTTGCTGGGAAGTAAGAATACTGGCAATGTAGAAGTCAGAAGTCTCATCATCATACTTTTGTGCTATCCTAACATATAATCACTCCTTAATCAATTTCTCTTTCTGGCATTGCAAAAATTAGAAAGCAACATTGGAAGTTTCTCAATAATGGGAAGGGGGAATTGCTGTCCTCAGTCATGCTTGTATAATTAATTAGAAGAATCCCATGATGCTCTTCCATCATCCTAGTCTATTTGGTGACTATATCTCATAGTTGGGAAAGTTTTGTTAGCCTTCATATTCCATGGTTGTTGTGCTGCTTTCACATGACTTAGAGCAGTGTTTCTCAGCCTCAGCTACTTTAAGATGTGTGGACTTCGACTGGCTGGGAATTCTGGGAGTTGGAATCCAAGCATCTTAAAGTTGCTGAGATTGAGAAACACTGATTTAAGGAACTGAAGATATTGCCACTGATTTTCATCTCTGTCTGCTACCAAACAATACAGGTAGTCCTCGGGTTACAACAGCAATTGGGACCAGAATTTCCATCACTAAACGATGCAGTCGTAAAGCGTGATGCTTAGTGACAGCAATCTCACAGCCCCAGTTGCTACTTTAACCCCTGGACCATGCAGGTTGTTAAGCAGGAAGAGGCAGGAGTACCAGGCTAGCAGGCTGGCGGATGTGAGAGTATTACAGGTGTGCAGGGAGTGCCGCGGGTAGGCACTACAAAGTGCAGACAGACAAAAAAGCACTGGGAGTGGGAGTGGGAACTTCCAACTTCCTGCTGGCTTCCCCATTGACCGTGGCTTGCTGCAAGGTCATAATCACAATCATGTGACCGCAGCTCACTGCAAGAAATAATTGTGAACCAAGCACCCGGATCGTGATCATGTGACCAAGGGGATGCTACGACAGCCACAACTTCATGAACTGGTCATAAGTCTTCGTCATTCACCACTGTTGTAACTTTGAATGGTCGCTGAATGAGTGGTCATAACTTGAGGACTACCTGTAATGACATTTTTCTGTCTTAATGTGTAGCCTTAAAGTTGCCCATTCAAGTTTAAATTGGCAGCACCAAGAAAAAAAAGGGAAGGAAAAAGAACATATTTGTCAAGAAACGTTTTGAAGAAAGCAGACTGCAAATTATTTCCCGTAATGAAAAACACCATAGCAGAAGGTCTTAAAGCTCAAGGTAGTCATTGAGTGACAAAACTTCAAAAAATGATCTTGCAGTCAGATACAGAGATTATTTTTGTATGAGCCGTAGCAATGTTTTTGAAACTTGGCAACTTAAAGGGACTTTCAGGGAAGAAATGGCAAACGGAAGATGGCTGCCCTAAAAGCAGAGCCAATGACCTTGGCGGAATGAAGAGCTGGTGAGTAGACTGGCTCTTTGTAGTTCCTCTCTGGACAAGGAGAGGACTTGAGGTCTCCTACAAGTGCTCCAGACAGTTGTTCCTTGCAGGGAGACCACAAGACAGTGGTCTCTGGTGGGTTTAGAGCTCTGGGAGATGAGGAATAACTATCTTACTCAACCCACAGTTGGTGCCTTTAAGGACACTGGGTTTGCATGCTTTCTTTTCTAATCACTTGGAAATTGCTTGTTAACTGCTTTTCAGCTATGAGGAACTTTTGGATCAACAGGTTTTACAGCACCAGGTGACTTTCTTTCAATCTTTAGTGAAAAAATATTTAAGTACAAGTATAAGGACTTTAAGGATTTTAAAATGTCAAGCTACAAGAATGATATGGAAAAAGATGCTACATTGGACATACAAAAGAAACCAGCTGATGT